AAAAGCCATATATAGTTGTGCTCATCTGTTCACAATTTTTCGATATATAGTGCTTAGTTATGCAACTTCCAGACATTTAATGCAATTACCAACGCATCATCCCCCCTCTTTTTCTATGTGTGTTTTTTTTTTTTTTCTCTCTCTCTCTGTCTGGGAGGGGTTTGTGTTTGTCCACGTAACCCTTATTATAGTTTGCTCTTCATAGGTAGGTGTGGACATAGTAGTAGTTGTAGTCTTTTTTTGGAGATGTCTTATTGAGTGAAGAGGAAGACCTTATTGTATTTATTGGCACCAGTGTGTAGTACTTCACATTTTAACATTTCAGTAAATATTTTGAATATACGAAGAAAGTGATTTAAAAAATGTGGTAATTAAATCAATTGTTCATTTGATATTGGTGTGTGTGTGTGTGTGTGTGTGTGTGTGTGTGTGTGTGTGTGTATGTGTATATATGTGTGTGTATGTGTGTGTGTGTGTGTGTGTGTGTGTGTGTGTGTGTGTGTGTGTGTGTGTGTGTGTGTGTGTGTGTATGTATATATATATATATATATATATATATATATATATATATATATATATATATATATAAATTTTTTTATCATTTAATTTTTTTCCTTTTTTTTTTTTTCTTCCTGGATGAGTTATTATTTTGGTGATTGGTATACAGTTTTTTTGTTTTTTTCTTTGGGTGTCCCAATTAGCATAAGTTGACCATGTATTTATATTGATTGGGTTACTTCGAGTTTTATAATATTTTAATACGAATGCACACCAATTCTTTTGGACATTCCTTCTAGTTTAAAGGCCGATTCACACTATGCCCTGAGCTGAATCGCAGAGGAACGCTCTGTGCAGTGCGAGTTCAAGCCCATTCATTTAATGGGCTGAAATCTCACCTCACCAAAAGTAGTGCATGCACTACATTTTGAAGTGCATGGCAACCGTATCGCATGGCACATTCCACTATGCGATTTGGTGCGGGTAAACGCAATGCGTTTGGGGTGTTCTTAACTTTTAACTGACCCCTGCAGCAGATCACAAGGACATTGTGATCAGAATGTGATGCCGGAAGCCGTTCAGGACTGTGGCTCTCCCACACCGCATTATAGTGTGAACCAGCCACAAATATTTTAAATTGAGCAGTTAACCCCTCCACTTTATGTGGGGAGGGATTATCTGAGTTGATTTGTTTTTCCTGTTGATGTGGGATCAAAAGGAGTGAATGTTCATGGAGCTTTCCGTAATGAATAGACACAGAAGGAATGTGAAATGCGTCTACTGATCCCAGAGCCATGCGTTGCTGTCTCTTTATCTTCATTGAATAATAAAGAAGTCTGCTGTTTGTATATTGGAGTTCCTGTACTTCAAGTTCAGATGATTTTATTGTGTGACAGATTCATTGCTTAAATTTTTTTCTTCTTTTACTAGTGGAGATGACAACGTCATGGGCGTAAAATACTGTTTTAGGAAAAATGATCATGTGGTTATAGTCATGCCATATGTGGAGAATGAATGTTTTGTGGTAAGTTGTATGTTTTTGTTTTTTTTTTTATGTATTTGTAGTAATTGCCATTTTCAGTATAGAGCACGGAAAGCCCATGTTTGAAGATAGGTCTCCCCTGAAAATAGCAGTATTGTAATGGTGCACATTTACCCAGTTGACATTCAACTTTTTGGGTTTACCACCAGGTGCAGTAGCTTGTTTTCAGTAGTCTTGTTCACACCAATATATTGTGTAGAGATGAACAGATATATCGGTGGCCGAAATGTAATGGCCAGAAATAGTGTTATCGGCATTTTGCCGGTAGGAAAAAAGGTGCCAATAATGGCTTCTCTGTTTTTTATTATAAAAGTAATGTGTCAAGGCAACTTGAGTGCAAAGTGGCGTCCCATAGACTTTTTTTCATGCAAAAACGCCATTCACATTCAGTTTGAAAAAAAAAAAATTTAAAAACTGTCCAGTTTGGTTTTCGCCCAAGTGCATCCTGCATTTTCATTTCAGTGCACCACTAATATTGTGCTATAGTGTGTGAGTGAAGATCTGTTGCATTAAGCCTACTATAGACAGATCAAAATTTAGCCGGTTCAGCAGGAACTGGTCAAATTTTGATCCATATCTGGACAGGCTGGTTGTTCTGAAGTCCTATCTGTTTTTTGTTTATTTCCCCCGTTCGATAACCGCCGGTGGATGTAGCAAAAGGGCACAATTTAATCACTTGCCTACTGGGCACTTTCACCCCCTTCCTGCCCAGGCCAATTTTCAGATTTCAGCGCTGTCGCACTTTGACAATTGCGTGGTCATGCAACACTGTACACATAAAATTTGTATCATTTTTTTTTAAACAAATAGAGCTTTCTTTTGGTAGTATTTTATTCCCCACTGGATTTATTTTTTGCACTAGAAATGGGGGAAAAAAACAAAAACATTTTGGAAATAAGTTTTTTTTCCCCTCATAAAATTTTGCAAACAGGTAATTTTTTTTCCCATTCACTGATGTGCATTGATGAGGCTGCACTGATATGCGATTGTTGGGCACTTATGGGGCTGCACTGATAATCATTGCCCTAATTATCAGTGTAGCTGTCTCCTTTCATAGTTGCCGGTTACCAGCAGTACTTTTCTCCCACTGTGACAGCGTGAGGAAAGTACTGCCAATAACCAGCAAGTGTATTTACATGGTGATCAGCTGTGATTGAACACAGCTGATCACGTGGTAAAAGGCCACCTGGACGACCGAGCTGTAGCTGTCATTCGGCTATAGCGCAGTCAGGAAAGGGTTAAAATTTACAAATAATTGATATTAACTCAATACGGGTTAAGATTTTATATTTAGCAAGAATTTTTTAAAATGTGCTACGTTTTTATTTTTAGTGTATTTTTAGGGAAAATATTGTTTTAATTAACATTTGCCCAAACATTGCAGACCCTTAAAATTCAGTAGCACCTTTTTATTCTACTGATCATGTGCTTTTAGAAAATTATATGGTATGGTGGGTCTTTTACAAACACTGAAAGCTGTAAGGGAAAAATAAAAAAGCAATGGAAAAATTACCAAAATCGTCCACCCACCTTAGTTTTAAAAGTGGAGTGCAGGGCCTGGCAGCAAAAGGGTTAAAGCAGTATTTTTTTTTTTCTGTCCTTTCCAGTCTGGTCACATGATCCTGTAACTGAGCGGCAGCTGTAGGGGTGGAGAGTGAGCGCTTGACAATGGGAATTCTGGGAACTAAGATATCGCCATAAGCTCCCAGCTATTGTCGGTGCTCCTGCCTCTCCAGCTGCTGCTCATTGACACAGGGTATGTGGAGCTGCAGGATCACAAGACCAAAGCAGGTTAAAAATAGGTATGTATACATATCTTTTGTACACAGGTTAGGCATGATGGGTACCAGGAGGGAGGGAGCATTTTTAAGCATTAAGCAGGAATTCCACTTAAATGTGGTGGCTGCATTTGTGTTGTGTTTTTTTCTTTTTTAGGCCTTTTTTTCCTTGCCAGTAATGAACTTTCTTTCTTAGGTTGGCTCCAGTTCTGATGGAGTAGCAACAGACTCCTTTGGACAGCAGCATTGTCTAACTGGGGAACTCTAGCCAATACTTTTTTTTTTTTTTTTTTTTTTTTTTTTTTTTTTTTTTTTTTTTTTTTTTTTTTAATTAAAATTCCCCTCGTTTCCCGTCCGCCCTATAGCAGAAATACTGCTCTAGGGTGGCACGGGTGTGCAAAATCACGTGTGTGTGTGTGTATATATATAATTTTTGCATATCCGCATAGGGGGCGTGCGAGAGCCCTACCCGCGCTGCCAGCCTCGGCTGTCAATCACCGGGTCCCAGCCGCTAATTACTCGCCGGCGCCCAGTGGTTTACTAACCGTTCTCCTTCCTGTCAGCTCAGGCACACAGCCATCCAGAACAGTGTGATTACAGTGAAGCACACTGACATGGTCCCCTAGTAAAACACTCCCTGCACACAGTTAATGCTTTGATTGCCCCTCATGTTAACCCCCTCCTACCCAGTGCCATTTGTACAGTGTCAGTGTGGTGTTTTTTTGTTTTTGTATTTTTAAGCACTGATCACTCTATTGGTGTTACTGGGCATGTTAGTGACACCAAGTCAGTTCCCCCTAGTGTCAGAATATCCGCTTATGTCCACTTATAGCAGTCCTGCTATAAGTCGCTGATCGCCGCCATTACTAGTAAAAATAAATCCCAGTATATGTACCACCATTTTTAAATGCTATAACTTTCATGTAAACCAATTAATTTACATGTATTGCGTTTTTTCTTAGCAAAGAATACATTTTGGTGTAAATTTTATGACATTTTATTTTTGAAAACATTTTTTACTGGGTCTGAGTTATGAATCATTGACTGAAACCTATTGACAAAATCCCGATGTGTTTTATCAAAGCGGGAATCGGCTTGGGGTGGAGGGGGGGGGGGGCTGAGCCCACACCCGCAACCCAGAAGGTGTTGACATACAGCTACGTGATGGTGCCTGTACGGGTCACCCACCCACAGTAAAGTTGTCCTTTTTAACCCTCCCACCTGGTAACAAACTTGCCTTTCTTCCTTTCCCAATAATGGTGGCTTTGCTCAAAAATTCCTATAGGACAGTGGTGCTCTGCAGAACTGCTGGAGTCTGTAGTGAGGTACCCTGCATGCCACATCCTACATTTTGACTTCTTGGCTCCTTTTGTGTGCCAAAGATCGCCTTGAAAGTCCAATTTTGTTTTGGGGGGGGGGGGGGGTGGTAATGGGCACAAGAACGCATTACCTCCCCCATCCCACATTGCTAGTTGTCATAGTGACCTATTGCCAAGCTCTATTACTGAATAATAGGACCTGAGTGGAGGGATACCCTCATGCAAATAATGGCTTTCAAAACTTGCTATCTGCAGGCTGCTGATGCATGACTGCAGGAGTTGGACATCATAGGAGTTTTAATAAGATAACAATGCACAATGTAGGGCTGTATGAGCTAATTGTTTTTTTGTTTTTTTTTACAGGATATTTTACATTCTCTTAGCTTTCAAGAAGCAAAGGAGTACACGTTTAACCTATTAAAAGCACTTAAACGTATCCACCACTTTGGGATTGTTCACCGGGATGTGAAACCAAGCAACTTCTTGTATAGCAGAAAACAGAAGCAGTATGTTTGGGCACCTTATTATATTGTATATGTCATGTCATATGTATATTACCATCATTAGATGTGATTGGCTAGAATAAACTCTGGGGTTGATTTACTTAACCTGGAGAGTGCAAAATCTGGTGCAATTCTGCATAAAGAAATTTTGCTTCTAACTTCAACTTGTTCAATTAGGCTTTAGCAATAAAACCTGGGAGCCGATTGGTTTCTATACAGAACTCTCCAGCTTTAGTAAATACCCCCTGTGCATTTAACCACTTCCCATTGTATATAAACGGCTGGACTGTGGCAGTGTAGGGACGGGTTGCCGTTCCAAAACGGCACCCGCCATTTTGGATTGTGCACACTCCCTGGAAGCGCGCGGCACCTCGATCCGGTGCCCGCTGTGTCCTTCGGATGCTGCGGAACACTGATCGCTGTACTGGATCTGTGTGAGGTCCCGATCATGTGATCACTGATTGGCCAATCAGTGATCATATGAATAGGTGTAAGCAAAATGTAACTTCTGACATCATTGCTTACTACGTGTGAAATCTGTGAATGATCACAGAGGTCACATGGTACAGGGCTATTCACAACAGCCTTGTACCATGTGACAAGTTGTGACCAAGCACAGCTCACACAGTATTTCTCAATGGCTGCAAGCATGCCGCCAGAGAGGAGAAATAATTGCTTTTACAGCCTTTATGGGTGTAAAAGCAATCGGTGTAAAAATAATAATCATCACCCCCCACAAGTAGTACAGTGTCATTATGGTGACACTGTACTGCTAGGGTAACAGTATGTTAAAAAAAAAAACAAATGTAAAAAAAACTTTTTTGAAAAATTATAATTTTTGGTTATAAACTAATTTTGGGTTATTTTTTTTACTAAAAAGATAACTGAATAAATTTTGGCCAAGATTTATTTATTTATGGGCTTTTTTTAATTGGCAAAAAAAAATAAAAATCCCAGTGGTGAATAAATACCACCAAAATAAAGTTATATCTGTCTCAAAAAAATTCACATGGGTACAGTACAGGTACTCCTCGCTTAACGACCGAGTTCCGTTTCAACGACTTGGTCGTTAAGCGAATTGGTCGTTAAGTGAGGAACTGCATGTACTGTATACAGTAGTACAATATATGCATAGTATTTGACAATACAGTATTCTGAATAAGTAAAATAACAAGAAAGATCAAACTGAAAACTTCCACTTGTTTTAATTTGCATAGGTTGTGTAATTTACACACAGTACTGGAATGTATTACAGTACAGTAGTACAATACAGTATATGCATAGTATTTGACAATACAATACAGTATTCTGAATAAGTAAAATAACAAGAAATATCAAACTGAAAACTTCCACAGTAAACAAAAAAAACAAAACAAACAAAAAAAAAAAATTCAGGCTATCATTTTAGTCAACGAATCCTTCAAAATCGTCATCATCAGAGCTATTATCAGGAGCTGCTGAAGGCCCAGGTAAGGGAGACGATGGAGTAGAAATTGAAGCATTGGTAGTGCTTGGTGTAACTTTCCAAAAGTATCCACTTAGAGTGGTCTGCTTTGTCATTTTCTTTTTTTCTTCATATATTTCACGATAGCACTGTAAAACTTGACTTATTTGTCTTTCCACCTTTGTGAATCGTTCAACATTCGGATCCATACTCTCTAGTTGGAACATAGCTGCATTCACTTTTGAGAACACACCAGCTAATCCCTTCACAGTAAACTTCTTTGGCACTTCTTCCATGTTTTCATTTTCTTCTTCCTCCTCCGCCAGGTTCTGCTGTGCTTCCAACTCTATTAAATCTTCGGTAGTTAGCTCTCCCTCCCTGTATTGCACTAATTCCTCAATATCTTCCACCTCAACTTCTAAATTAAGCACTTTAGCAAGTTCCATAGTTGTTTTATTTATGGCATCAACATGTTCATCTTTCTCAAAAACTGTAACATTGCTCACAAAACATTTTAGGCATTTTTTCCATATGCCTTGCATACACTTTTCTGTCACTCCCTTCCAAGCGGATTCAATGTTGTTTATGCAGTCTAAAATGTTGTAAGATCTCCAGAAATCACGGAGAGTTACTTCATCATTTTCTGTTGCTGCTACAGCTTTGGAAAAAGTTGTGCGTAAATAGTATGCTTTAAATGTGGCTATGGCCCCCTGGTCCATTGGCTGAAGGATTGAAGTTGTGTTTTTAGGTAGATATACTATCTTTACATCTGTGTTTAGGTCATCAAGATACTGGGGATGGCCTGGAGCATTATCAAGCAGGAGGATAATTTTAAAAGGAATGCCCTTTTCTTGACAATAATGCTTCACTGAGGGTATGAAGCAGTGGATGAACCAATCCTCAAAGCTTGAGTCATCCATGCCTTGTTATTTGCTCGGTAGTAAACAGGCAGTGTGTTCTTTCTAACTCTGCTCAATGCACGTGGGTTTTCAGAGCGATAGATAAGCAAAGGCTTCAACTTAAACCCGGTAACATTTCCTCCCAACAACAAAGTGACCCTGTCCTTAAATGCCTTAAAGCCAGGCATTGTCTTAGCTTCTTTGTGTATATAGGATCTTTCAGGCATTTTCTTCCAAAAAAGTCCAGTTTCATCCACATTGAAGATCTGTTCTGGACAGTAGCCACCTTGCTCTATGATTTTATCAAATTGGTCAACAAATTTTTCTGCTGCTTCTACATCTGCACTTGCTGCCTCACCACTGACACTCCGATTTATGCAGCTTGAATCTTCGAGAAAACCGTTGAAACCATCCGTTACTTGCTGTAAAGGTTTCGGTTGAACCGCTGCGTGCTTGCAAAGTCTCAAAGATATTGAGTGCCTTGGCTTGAATTATTGAAAGGTTCAATGGCATTCTTTTTTGAATCTGGTCATCAAACCAGATAGCCAGTAACTTCTCCATATCATGAATTAGGCCTTTCCGCTGTCTAGTTATTATGGCTTTAAAGCCTGTTGATGCTTTCACTGCCTCTTTTACTCTATCTTTATCCTTAAGGATTGTTGAAATGGTTGAATGTGCCAGATGCAAGTCATGTGCTATCTCATGGACTTTTTTGCCACCTTCATAATCCTTTTATGATCTTTATTTTCTTCTCAAGATCAATAGCCTTCCTTTGTTTCTTGGCATTTTCTGGTGCAACCTTGCTTTTCCTTTTTGGAGACATCTGGGGTAAAGTACAATACAGAATAAGGCACCCAGATCACACACAACTTGTATGCTTGAAGAAAAAGCTTTATAAATAGTTACACTGTACTGTACATACTGTAATGTACTATATCTGTACTGTATACAGTATTGTCACACTACTGTGCTGTATTGTGTGGGCCTGAGAGAGATCCTGGACTGTATACAGTACAGTACAGTATAGCTGTTTATAAAGTTTTTTCTTTGCATCGCAAAAAAATACAGTAATTTACAGTACTGAATACTGACCAGGAAACCAGCAGTACCGGACCTCAGAATAGTGTACAATTTCAGCCATGAATGACTTTGAGACGCAGGGCCGCTACCACCGCGCTACCACCGCTACCACGTCTGCTACCACGTCCGCTACCACGTTTAGCGCGTAACCACGTTTTAGCACGTACCGAGATGGTCGTAAGTGTGAGCGGTCGTAACGGTGAAGAGATGGTCGTAAGTGCGAGCGGTCGATAAACAGGTAGGTCGTTAAGCGAGGAGTATCTGTATTGCATGACTGCACAATTGCCATTCAAAGTGCAACAGCACTGAAAGCTGAAGATTGGCCTGGACAGGAAGGGGGTAAAAATGCAGCTCATCTACTGCTTTTCCTGTTAGGGGTAATCAAGGAGTTTGCAGAACTGCTCCTATCACTTACTGGATTCCTAGCTCCAGCGTACCCTGCTTGAAGTTCCAGTCCTATATGTGGAACCTCCTGCGTCGTCAATTACAGTACAGGGTCTTTTATCCTGTATTGTATGTTTAGGAGACTGGAGTGTGACAGGAGTCATCCCCAGCTTACGGAGTAGCTGGAGGGAGCCTGCTGGAGTGAGAAGTAGTTTTTTTTTGTTTGTTTTTTTGTTTGTTTTTTTGTTTTGGTTTTTTTTTTTTTTTTTGTTTTGGTTTTTTTTTTTTCTTTGCTCCTTAATCCTCTGCTCCTAGACTAAGCAAGCAATTAAAGTGATATTAAAGGCAATTGTGTGTTTTTACAAAAAAAAAAAAAATCAAATATGTCATACTTTCCTAGTGCAGTGGTATTGCACAGAGCAGCCCTGATCCTCCTCTCAGGTCCAGTGCTAGTGCTCCTGGCCCCTCCCTCCTGCTTAGTGGCCTCAGAGCAAGTAGCTTGCTATGGTGGCACCCAAGTATGCTTGCTCCCAAGCCGCTGCTTTGTATGTACATCTACACACAGAGCCATGGCACCCTCTCTGCTCATTAACTCGCTGGCTGTGATTCCCACTGCTCTCTCTGCCAATGAGGGAGAGTCCCCCAGAGTGCCGAGGCTCTCGTACACAGTGCTCGATCGCAATGGGGCGCAGGCAAGTATTTGGGAAGACTGCTGCACACAAAAGTGGTGTTTTTTTTTTTTTTTTTGTTTGTGGGTTTTTTTTTTTTTTTTTTTTTTACCTTCATACATAGAATGCATGAAGGTAAGCTTTCAACCTTTTACATCTACTTTAACCACTTGCCCTCCTGAGGATTTCTCCCCCCCTCCCCCTTCCTGACCAGGCTATTTTTTTGCATTACGGCGCTGCGTTACGCTAAATGACAATTGTGTGGTCATTCAACGCTGGACCCAATTTAAATTTACGTCCCCCTACGAATTGAGCTTTCTTTCGGTGGTATTTGATCAATTGTGTGTTGCTTTTTCTTTTTTTCTTTTGCACTATAAAAAAAGGACCAATTTTTTGAGAAAATATTTTTTACTCTTTCTATTAAACATGTTCAATAAAAAATAAAAAAAAAACAAGTTTCGTCATAAATTTAGGCCAAAATGTATTCTGCTACATGTCTTTGGTAAAAAAAAAAAAAAATCCCAATACGTGTTAATTAATTGGTTTACGTGAACGTTATAGCGGTGTATAAATACACTGGAATATTTTTATTGTTGTTTACTAGTAATGGTGGCGATCAGCGACTTATAGCAGGACTGAGGCGGGCATTCTGATACTAGGGGGAACTGACTTGGTGTCACTGACATCCCCAGCCACACCAATGCAGTGATCAGTGCTATAAAAAAAAAAAAAAAAAACTGATACTGTACTAATGGCACTGGGCAGGAAGGGGTTAACATGAGTGGCGATCAAAGGGTTAACTGTGCTGAGAGTGTTTTATTGGGGGTCGGTGTGGTGGTACATAACTGTAAGCACACTGCTCTGGATGGTTGTGCTGTGCACAGCCATCCAGAGCAGTGTTCCCGAGCGACAGGGAGGACAACTGTTCGTTAACAAAGCAGCCCTCCTCGGAGATCCTCGGTAATCACCGGGCGCCGGTGGGTAATCACCGGCCAGAACCCAGTGATTGACAGTCGTGGCTGCGAATGGCAGCGCAGATAGGGCTTGCGCATGCCCCCTACCCGGCAAAAATGTAAAATCATGTGTATATGTGTATATATATATGTGTGTGTGTGTGTGTGTGTGTGTGTGTGTGTGTGTGTGAGATTTTGCACACCCCTGCTGCAGTATTTCTGCTATGGGGAAGCGGTTAAACCATTGCAGTGCAGGTGGGGAAGGGGCACTGCAGGGGTGGTGGTTTTCATGGGGTTGGGTTTTTAATAACAAATGTGAATAAAAAAAACTGGTATCCAAAATGTATAATTGTATAGCAAACTGAGTGTCAATATATAAAAGGTGTTTATTATATCAAAGTCCCACTTTCACCCTTGAAAGTCCAAAATTTGTAAATCATAAACCTTTTTTTAGTGTCAGTAAAATTTATTTCAAAAACTCCCAAAATTATTCTTCCAAATTCGGATCCATAATCTCCATGTGCCTCCAAAAATGCTGTATACCTCCAAAAAATAAAACTGGATAGTGTGTTCTCCTCAGTATAACTGATTAAATTGTAGTGTGTGTGTGTGTGTGTGTGGTTTTGTGTTTGCACAAAAAAAAGTTTTACAAAGTGTGAAATAGTGAAGCACTCTGTGTACACTTCTATATACACACTTCTCTGTGTACACTTCATGAACACTTCTATGTGGCTGAATTACAAAAGGGATAATTTGTGATCTGACGTTAATCCTGTGGGATAGTTTCAGATGAGTGTGGACCCAACGTAATATTTTCTCGGGAGGCTCTTATGTCACTTATTTAGGGTAAGGGTATGTAATTCAGCCACATAGAAGTGATCACGGAGTGTTCACAGAGAAGTGTGTATATAGAAGTGTACACAGAGTGCTGGATTAGAATTTGGAAGAATAATTTTGGGAGTTTTTAAAATAATTTTACTGACACTAAAAAGGTTTATGATTTACAACTTTAATACTGTTATACCTATATCCATTATTTGTTTTACAAGCAAGACTTTGTTCCGGTGATATCAATTTGCAAACATTGTGTAACAATACTTTGAAGAGAGCGCATTTTTTTTCTTTTTTTTTTTTTTTCTACTTGAATCAGTGTTCGTTTAAAACCAAAAAGTTACTGTAGTTGAAAAGTAGAAATTTAATACTTTTGAAGTGGAACTTCCCCTGTGTCTGAGCACCACAAACCAAAAATGCTATTTTATTCTTTTTTAATATTCAAAGCAAACTTACCCAGTCATGTATCCATGCTTTATTTTGCAGAGAAATTATGCTGAAAAACACCCCCCCTAGCATTTCTTGCCATGGCCATCTTAAGTAAGGGCAGAAGATTCATGTAGCATTTACTTTACTGGACTCCTTTTGCCCTTAGCTTAGGTATGCAAGGAGGAGGATGTGCTTAGCTGAGGAAAAAACCCTCCCTCTGAAAATTCCTGGGATGTATGACATAATTTGCCTAGGCATGGAAACCAGGAAGTAACTGAAATGTAAAAAAATAAAAAGTTTAAAACCAGTAAATATAATATACTTTCCTATCTAATTACTAATACTAGCAGCAAAAGGATTAAAAATCAATGTTGACCGAGACAGTGAAGTTCCACTTAAAAACATTGTGTAACATGCGGACAGTGCCCACTCTGAAACGGTGCTTGATTCGCCAAAACGATGTGTCCATATTATTCCATGGAAAATTAGTTTAACAAAAAGTGAGTTATGCTGCAAGTATATCTGGCAGTTTCCAATCAAACTGCCCCCTAGCATTTCTGGCTGTGGCCATCTTGAGTAAGGGCAGATGAGTTTACTTCCTAGAATCAATCCATCTGCCTTAGCTGAGAGAGCCCCTCCTGAAGACTCCTGGAAACTGACATTTGCCTAGGCATGAAAACCAGGAAGTAACAAATGTAAAAAAAACCCAAAAAACTTTAAAACAAGTAAATATAATCTACCCTTCTATTTATTAATGCTAGCAACATAAGGTGTGAACTCTGCAGAGCGGATCCGCCTGCTCAGTGGGGGATCCGTCTGCTGAGCAGAGAGGTGACAGGTTTGGTCCGCTTTGTGCAGAACGGACACTTACACAGCCCACTGTTCTCAATGGGGTGGTTGGATGTAAACAGACCCGCTGGTCAGTTTTTCCATCTGACAGTCATCTGATCTGCCTGTGTGAAACTGCCCAAACTGTGGTTGTGTTTTTTTGTTTTTCTTCAGCCACAGCTATTACAGCTGCTGTGTATAAACACAGCAACTCCTGGCTGTAATTTTGACAATTGGGTATTGCCAGAAAGGGCAAGGGTGCTGGGTAGGACAAGGTGTACTGCACACACCCTGTGTACTTCAATGTGGTATTTTTGGGCATATATTGAATGCCCAGTAATACTAGTGAGCTGTACAATATAGTTAATTCTGTGTTGGCATTCTTACTATTTTAATGTATGCATGTGAAAACTACAGTCTGGCTAGTTCAAGATTTTAAAACAAAAACTGAAATTTTGCTCTCACACTTCATAATTAAGGTCTGGTCCGATCTGTATTTGACTGCTCAAAGTATGTGCATTATCCACGGCAAGGTTTTTTGCAACTTTGTAAGGTTTTAGATCAAGTTGCAACATTTTTTCAACAGTATAAAATGAAGTCCGCTACCACTGACACTGTTGGAAACAAATGATGGGTGTTTGCAGTCCCATACACTATCCAAAACTGAAAGTGTTTTGATTTTGGATATATTTTAAAAATTTGCCACTTCACCCTTCAGTGTTTGTTTTTTGTTTTTTTGCAGATACGCCCTGGTAGATTTTGGGTTGGCTCAAGGAACACCGGACACAAAGATAGAACTTCTCAAAGTCCTTCACTCCAAAAAACAGGGGAGTTGTATACAAAGTAAACCTCATACAATTTCAGGAAATATACCAGTACCTAGAGAAGTAGTTCTACCAACCTCAACAAAACAGTCTGTGAAAAGATATTGGTCACTTTCACAGATAAATCCAGGAAACAATGCACAGGTTCTAAGTCTTTTTCTTCTCTCTACTAATGTTGAAAAACCAAAGCATGGCTGCCATCCTTTAACAAGTATTAAAATAACAGATTGCATTCTAAAGGGGTGCACATGAGTGGTGTTTGTGCCATGTTGCATTATGCTGGCCTTCCAGGAAACCCTGATCAGTTTTAAAACCTTGTTTGGTCCTTCCTGTCCAATTTCATAGCAGTAATTTTTAAAGATGAAAAAAATTGGGGTACTGTTCTGATGTTCTTCATTACCAGTTACTAATTGTTTTCTCCTAGCTTTATTTTCACTTGTAGAAAGTATTTTGTACTTTCCAATCTAGCAAAAAAAACTGTCCAAACCACCGAATGATTTTTATAGTAAATTACTTCTGATTAGGCTTTCAGCATTTAAAAAAAAAAAGAAAGAAAAAAAGAAAACTATAAAATCAATGTATGTAAAGAGTGGGATTGCATCATTTTCAATGGAACAGGTTACCCATTACATCAGTCAATGAAATGGAAAGAAGACCCATATTGGACACATACCATCCATTTTTCATTGTACTGTAGGAAAAGTGCTGACTTTATAGGGCTTTATGAAGCCAATGAGAAGCATCAGCTCTAGGTACGTTGACATGTTAAAAAATGAACAAGTAAATGAAAAGGCATATTTATCATAAGACTGCTATACAGTATGTTGAGGATCCTGACCTGTAGCCCTCTGTAAGCTAGGAGAAAGCGATGAATGCAATGAAGCACAGACATGTCACTTGTGTGCACTTAAAGTGGAACTCCAGTCAAGAATATCCTTTTTTAAATAGGGCAAAGGAGAGTTGGCACAGTTGATACCTGCAGAGAATGAGGATAATGCTGTGAACAGAGACACAGAGCAAAGAAAAATAACCAATTAACTATTGCCCATTCTATTAAGGATGGTGGGAAATGAATTGCCTTGTAGATGTAATTTAACCCTTTTTCAGTCTTTTAATGTCTGAAGTTCCACTTTAACAGTGTGAATGATTATCTTGAAAAGAATTAAAGTACAACTTGTAATTTTGCATTTAGTGATTTTGTTGTAAATTTGGATATTTTTTTTTTTCACTCTTTTCCACGCTGCAGTCAGTCTGCTTTACCTCACATACTGTGTGTTCCAGTGGGTGTTGTGATGATGCTTATTATGTTTATTGCTCTGTCTAGACTGTTGTTTCTGCATATGGAAAGGGTTTATATGCCTGAAATCAAGCATGCAGCTGTTCTCACTTTGTTTCACTCCCTAAATATGCAATAATTTGCTGTTGTAAAGTGACAAAGATATAATTCTTATTGTGCGCCATTTGGATGTCTCTTCTAGGAAGGATTACTTGGCGAATCTACACAGAGGTCTGTGTCTGTGTTTGGAGAGAAGAATTTTAATGTTTACAGTACTGTCCCCCATGAAGTCACAAATGCAAAAGTAAGTAACACATGGAAATAATACACATGCACATATATGCAGGATACCATGTTGCACTGAAAATAAAACCTAATTAACTTAGTAGTAATATCCTATACATAGTCAGCCTCTTTCTCCTGCAATCATTGTGTAACTGGAGGAAGAAGGATGAACTTCAGCTGCGTTTGAGCAGCAGCAGTTTGATGTCTCTGTTCATCTGGATCAGTGATGGAGAAGATGGATAATTTCCTTATTTAATCAATTGAGAGGAGTAGCTTTTGTCATATTGTCACTGGTTTCTAGAACACCTTTCTAATACAGTTTAAACATTTGGTAGAAACCGTTGTTCACAGAACTACCAGGTGAACATTAAGGGAGGAAAAAGCCTGAAAACTAATGCAACCATCTAAGAACCAGTAAGCTGCATATTAAATTTTTGGGGTTTAAAAGAAAATGTAACTTTCTTAACAGCTTCCCTGCCGCCCTATTTTAGAACTACTACTGCAGGGCTGGGCAAATCCGTGTGTGTGCGCCTCCCTACCCGCGCCTCCATTGGCGGCTACAGATGGCAGTCACCAGGTTCCGGCTGGAGATTCCCCACTGGCACCCGGCAATCGCCAAGTATCACTGACGGGAGAAACCTGTGTGTAAATACAGGTCTATCTCCTGCCAGCAAGAGCATGCTGCTGTACATTTCTCTGCACAGCAGAGACATACACATCAGCATGTTTCCCTAGTAAAACACACAGCACATTATGTAAAACGGCATACAGTTAACCCTTTGATCACCTCAGATGTTAACCCCCTTCCTGCCCAGTGTCAGTGGGGGGGCTTGAGGAAAAGAACTGTTTGGAAACAAAACAGTTCTCTCCCCTGTCAGCTCCTGCACGCTGCTTTGCATGCCCATGCAAAGCAGGGTGCTTACAGTGAAGCGCACACACATAGTGAAACAGCACACAACACTTTGATTGTCCCAGATGTTAACCCCTTCCTGCCCAGTGCTGTTAGTAGTCAGTGCTTTTTTTTTTTTTTCTTCCCCCTAGCACTGATCACCAAGATAGTTCCTCTTATAGTGCGATTGCGGCGGACATTCTGACACTAAGTCGCTGATCACCGCCACTACTAGTAAAAATGTAAAAAAAAAATTCCAGTATCTATACCGCAATTCGTAAACATAGCTTTCACATAAACTTATTTACACGTATTGGATTTTTTTTTTTTCTTTACTGGACATGTTTAATTGCAAAAAGCCAAATATGTTGAGCTTTTTTTCTGCAAAATTGTCATGTCTTATTTTTTTTGCTTGAATTAAAAAAAAAAAAAAAAAAAAAAAAAAAACCCCGCACAGGCAATCAAATACCACCAAAAGAAAGCTCAATTCGTGGTGAAAGAAAGGGCGTAAATTTAATTTGGGTGTAGCGTTGCATGACCACAGAATCGTCAGTTAAATTAACACAGCGCCATAACACAAAAATGGCTTGTTCAGGAAGGGGGGTAAATCCTCAGGAGGGCAAGTGGTTAAATGAGTGTTGTGGTTTTTATAATTTTTTTTTTTATAATTATTGGTTTTACATAAAGTACTATGAGAGGTATTGTCTGTTTGCTCCATCTATTGAGAAGGAGGAGATGAGTGGTTGGCATTATCTAATACCCAGAGAGGAAAAAGGCTTACTGTGACCTCTATAACATGCAGGCCATTAATATAAGGTGAGAGCATATCTTGGGCATTGAGTGATCACAAGGGGATTTGAGGAAGTTACTCACAGATAATCAGAAGTGATATCACGGATCAACAATTCTTTTCCAGCACGTAGGATTGTTTCTAAAACTTTTTACTTTGGTGCCCTCCCCTCAAATTTATTGCTTTTGACATCCCAAGTAGTAATGACTATTAACTCCTGTGTCATTGATGTACAATTTAAGAAATTAAGATTTTTGGTTTACCTGTAAAAATCCTTTTAGTCTTCCATTTCCTTTGTGTCAAAGGAGGAATTCTCATCTGCTACTGCTGGATTGCAGCACTAGATGTCCGGAGTCTTTTCCAGTTTATACCATCTTTGTAGCAAATGGAAACATTCCTCTTTACTCCCTCCCTCCTTGATGAGAAGATGAGCCTGTTGAGGATCTACCAGAGGAAATGATGGAAGAGGAAGCAAATTTTCCACAGGGTGGGGAGGTGGAAAACTCCCCTTGAGGAATTTACTCCTGAAAAAATCCCAGGGTCTGTTTTTTATCTTAGACCCACAAGGCCTTTTGTGGGTTTTCATGCGGGAGAGGTCCAGGCTTATTTAAAAATGCCACTTTCTAAGTCATCTGTCCCAAAAGACCACAAAATGGAATGCAACTCCCTTCTAACCGGCCTACCCCAGCACAGGCTCTCCCCGCTTCAGACCATCCTGAACTCAGTGGCTAGACTCATCCGCTCCACCTCTGCCACCCCCCTCTGCCTATCCCTCCACTGGCTCCCGGTTGCCCAACGCATCACATTAAACTACTAACTCTGACCTACAAAGCCATTCACAACACTGCCCCTAACTTACCTGATACCCAAATACCACCCTACCAGTACCCTTCGCTCCTCACAGGACCTCCTTCTATCTTGCTCCCTGGTCTCCCCCTCCCATGCACGACTGCAAGACTTCTCCAGGTCCTCCCCATCCTCTGGAACTCACTACCCCACCCATCAGACTGTCACCTTTCCTCCTCACCTTCAGGCGCTCCCTGAAAACCCACCTCTTCAGGGAAGCCTACCCCACCCTCACCTAACAGCCGTTCCCCCTCATTCCTCCCACCACTCCATCCCCCACAGCCACTTCCTCCTGTACTACTACCCCCTCCCTCCTAGATTGTAAGCTCGAAAGAGTAGGGCCCTCTAACCCCTCGTGTGCTGTTTGTTGTTGCTATACTGTTTCATGTATTGTGTCCACCCCCCCCCCCCCCCCCCCCCCCATTGCACAGCACTGAGCAAACACTTTGGCGCTATATAAACTCTATGTAATAATAATAATTCATTTTTAATATTTAAAGCAAACTGATCCATCCTTTCATGTCTCTATGCTTTATTTTGCTGAGAAATCACTTTGAAAAATACCCCCTAGCTTTTCTCTCTGTAGCCATCTGGTTAAGGGCAAATGAGGTTACTTCCTGGAATCTGCAATCCACCTGCCTCAGCTGAGAAAGCCCCTCCTAAAGACTCCTGGAATGTATGACATAGTTTGCCTAGGTATGGAAACCAGGAAGTAACTGAAGAAATGTTAAAAAAAAAAAAAACCTTTAAAACAAATCTAATCTACCCTCCTATTTATTAAGGCTAGCAGCATAAGGTGTAAACATAGTGTTGACTGAGAAGGTGAAGTTCCCCTTTAATGCGTCCCGTTTTTAAAATGACACAAAATATGCTATGGGGGCACCCAAGCATGCTTGTTCGCACCAAAGCCGCTGCTCTGCGTGTCCATCCACACACAGAGCCATGGCCCCCCTTCTCTGTTCATTAACTCGCTGGCTGTGATTCCTACTGCTCTCTTAGCCAATGAGGAGGAAGAGTCCCCAGAGAGACGAGGCTCTTGTGCACATCGCTGGACGCGATTGGGTGCAGGTAAGTATTTGGGGGGACTGCTGCACACAGGTCTTTTACCTTCGTGGATAGAATGCATGAAGGTAACATTTCTGCCTTTACATCAGCTTTAAACCCTTGCATTGCAGGAAGGGAAGGGGCACTGCAGGGATGGTGCTTTCAACTTTGATGGAGTTGGGCTTTTAATAACAAAGTAATACCTATATTAATTTTTTTGTTTTACAAGCAAGACTTTGTTCAGGTGATATTAATTTGCAAACATTGTGTAACAGAACTTTGAAGAGAACGCATTTTTTTTTTCCTTCTTGAATCAGTGTTGATTTAAAACCCAAAAAAGTTACTGTACTTGAAAAGTAGAAATTTTATACTTTTAAAGTGGAACTTCCCGTGTCTGAGCACCACAAACCAAAAATGCTATTTTATTAATTTTTAATATTCAAAGCAAACTTACCCAGTCTTGTCTCCATGCTTATTTTGCTGAGAAATTATGTAGAAAAACACCCTTCTAGCACTTCTGGCCGTGACTATCTTAAGGCCAGAAGAGCCATGTAAATGGATGAAATCCAGTCAAGTAAATGCTACATTAATGGAATCCATTTGCCCTTGGCTTAGGCATGCAAGGAGTAGGATGTGCTTAGCTGAGACCCCCCCCCCCCCCCCCCCCCCCCCCCCCCCCCCCCCTCTTGAAGAATCCTGGGATTTATGACATTTGTCTAGGCATGGAAAACAAGTAACTGAAGGTGTGTGTGTGTGTGTAAAAAGATTAAAATTAATCAATGTCAGCTGCGACGGTGAATTTCCACTTAAAAAGAATGTGTAATATGTGGACAGGGCCCACCCTGAAAATGTGCTTGCTCCGCCAAAACAATGTGTCAACATTATTCCATGGAAAATTAGTTTAACAAAAAGCCAATTGCGCTGCAAAGTAGTAGATCTGGCAGTTTCCAATCTTATAAGACCCTTTCAGTTTCAGTTGACAAGGTATTCAAGGATGCTTCAGAAGATTCTGTTGGCCTTCTTTAATGCCTCCTTTGCTCTGCTGAGGACAGCCTTACAACTTGTGGCAGCGGATGTAGAATTGTGTCAAAGCCACAAGGTTTGGGCTGCTTGTAAGACGAGAAATGGATATGGAGTCAAGCAGGGATATGGAGTCAAGCAGTTATTTCCTGTACCGTTAAATCCTCTTTGGATGCCTTTTTAAGACTCTGTTCAGCAAATTCCTTGTTGATTTCTTCTGCACATGCAGATTCTTGAGGCTAAAGTGTTTGTGGAGCTGTCTTCTATGGCAGGTTGAACGTTTACCTTTTTCAAGGGGAACATTGTTTGGGATGATTATATCCAAAAGGGAACTGTGGGCAAGAGAACTGTACCACAGGCTTCCACTTAAAACAAACAGCCTACCTCTTGGGGTTCTAAGCCAAAGCCCCAATCCCAGTTCTGCAAGAAGACCTAGACTCTAAAACCTCTAAGCCAGGAGGCAAGTCCTCCTTGCAATGGGGCTACTTAATTGGGTGGGGGGACATTTGCTGGCCTTTGCACACATTTGGCGGGGGAGATTGCTGATGACTGGGTCCATGGTAAAGTCCAGTGTTACAAGCTTGTATCCTTCCCCCTCCATGCTTTAAAATGTTTCTTTGAATCTTCAAAAGGCAGTCTGCGCCCCCCCCCCCTTTCTTTTCCAACATCGAAAACTTGTCAGATTAATTGTAGACCCTGCTGCATCAACCTGAATCCTTTTGCAAGGTCCAATATTCCATCCTCCTTTACAGTTGCTGGTTTTAACGGCATGGCTGTTGAAGCCAGAGTCTTGAGAGATGGGTGTATCAGATTGGTAATCCTTACCCTTTTAAAGGCTAGGAAGGCGACTTCTAAGAACACTTACCATTGGACTTGGAAGTTCCTGGTTTGAGGCTCAGGGACTTCACCCTTGTATGTATGTCATGGGTCACATTCTGGTGTTTCTCCAATCTGGAGTTGACCAGGGTCTGAGTACAATTTAGGTTCAGATTTCAGCCTTGAATGTTCACTTCCAGAGATCCATTGCTTTGTATTCCCTGCTGTGTGCTTTTTTGTACAAGTGGTCACACACCTTGTTCCAACGATCAGGACTCCTTTGATTCCATGGCACCTCAACTTGATGCTTTCTGTGTTAAAGAAATCTTTGAACCCATCGATGGGTTTCCCTTTGTCCTGCTGAGAAGGATGGTTATGTTTTCTGGTTTCCACTACTTCACCTTGCAGAGTCTCAGAATCCTAATCTATCAAGCTATGCTATATGTGAATTAACAATTAATCTAAAAACCTTATGTCACATTGTGAAATGATTTCACAGCCATCTCCAACAGACTTATGAATAAAGTGCAAATAAAATTATTAACCAATAAAGTCCACACATGTGAAATTCCTTACTTCCAAGTGTTTTCTTGCATCAAAATAGAAAATTGTCATGCTTAAAGCAGCAAGAGCAGTGACGTTTAGACTGCCACCCATGGTAGAAATGCACACTTACAAACTAGGGACAACCTTTTACTTAAAGGTCATACACGCTTGTAGATCTCCGTTCCAATGACAGCCGCCACAGCACCGGGAGTATGCACCCAAAAGGACCAATAATTTTAAGATGACATTTCATGTATCTCACCATCTTTTCCACTCTTACAGTATATGAAAATATTAGGATAAAACACAGAATTCTCAAAGCTGGCAAAATTCATGATACCCCTACACTATTTTGTCAGCTTTGAGAATTCTGTTTGCGCAATTGTAATTGCAATATTGTAAGTGTGATTTTTTATTTTTAATAAACCTTGTTAAGAGATTTTATACTATGGAAGCATTTTATCCCTTTGCTTTCATATGAGCGTGGAAGAGATGGAGATATATGAAATGTCATCTTAAAGTTATTGCTCCTTTCGGATGCATACTCCCAGCAGTGTGGCTGCTGCCATTGGAATTGAGTGGCTTGTTATATTAAAATTCATGATATACTGTGATATGTCCTAGTAGAATTGAATTTACACAAGCACAGATTCTTGGTATTTGAATAGAGTTTCAAAATAGACAGCTCTTGCCTGTAAGAAACCCATTTCTATTGAATGAGAAAAGGTGGTCTTGTGGCCTCAGCCATCCTTTTAAATCTACCATTTTTCATTGGATCTATCAGGTTTTGTTCTCAAGCGTACTGTTTAACAGGAAAGTTTTGCCGTTCTCGGTGACGGCTCAATCTACCAAGAGTGTTGGTGCTTCCTGGGCTATTCAACATTGACTTCAATAGTTTAGGGTTGTAAGACCGCTACCTGGTCATCGGTTCATAGTTTTACCAGGTGGATGTTCGGGCTTTTCCGAACATGATCCTTGGTCAGTGGGGTTTGCAGGCTGTTGTGTGAGGCTCTAACCTGTACTGGTTTGGTTGTTTGGGGCCTGTTGGCTTTTTGCTGTATCTCTTCCCCACCATATTGAGTGCTTTGGGACATCCCTATTGTAATTCATATAAAGATGCCCCGTGTCTCCTAGGATGTATGTTACATAAAAAGGGAATTTTTGATTTGTAAAATTGTTACCCATGGATCCCACCCCTTTTTTGTTTTGTGGTTCAGTGGCTTGCTACAAAACTGAAACTGTGACTAGCTGAGAGGATGTATGCCTGGCCAGGGATTCCTGTCTTTGTGCCAGTGTCCGATCACTGAAGGTGTCAGCCGAACCCTATCATGATGGATATGAAGATGCTGCGTGCCCTGTGATGTACTCCAAGAAAAGGATTTTACAGGTAAAGTAGAAATGGCATGGAAATAGGAGCCCAACTAGAAACTGTGTCTTCCGGCCACAGCTATTGATCTACGGTTTACTATTACCAGAATGACACCAGTGCCTCTAATTGTGTGGAATGTATCCAGATACATGGTCACATTATTTAAGTTCCCATTGCATTTTCTAGTTTGGCTCCTATTTCCATGCCAATTGAAGTTACACATGTGTATTTTTGATGATTGGTGTATAGCCATATTGTATTTTCTCCATGAAATGTATATCCCCACCATGGTGGTGCACTCTGTGTTTTTGCTGTCTGTGCAAAAGACCTGTGAGTCGTTGCCCCTGCAGCTTAGCATTACTTGTGGCCTAGCTATGATGTCTTTTTATTATTTTTTTTGTTTTAAGGTTGCTCTGTGTATTGTCTTAAATTGAGGTGATGGCTTTTTGCAGTATTGTCTTCCATGTGCAATTTTGCTAATAAAAGCATATTCTGATGATCATTTGAGTATCGCATTGTCCTTTTATGTAACAGCTTTTCTTGTGAATTCATTTTTTTTTTTTTTTTTTTTTGGATGTTAAATGGCACCAGGAAATTTCCAGCACCCACTGTGTTGACCTTTAAAGTGGAATTACACCTCCATATTAAAAAATGGCTCTAGGGTTTCACAGTATGTCACAATGAACTAATATGCACAGCATATTGGCACATTACATCAGACTTACCTGAAAATTATTTCCCTCCAATGCTACAGTGTTACAGGCGCTTCTATCTTTTCCTGGTCTTTCTTCCAGTTTCAGACTCTTTGCTTGATTGGCTGGCAGGATGCGTTGCTGTCGCTCCTGCACATGCGCAAGGGAGTCACATCCGTGGCACAGAGCGGTGTCATAAATGTATGAACTGCGCATGCTGTGTATAAAAATTCTCACAAGCAGGGAGAAGAGACAAACAGTCTTGTCTGTCATAAAAAATCCTACATGTCAGCGGGTTATTTATATTTTTTTGTCGTGTAATTCTGCTTTAAGTAATTGTATACAAATTCTTTTAGAACAACGTTTCTGTATATATGGCATAACTGGATTAAGTTTTGTACCACAACTGCTATTTTACAGAGCATAAAGCAGCCCAAGACATCAGATGTTGCGGCCAAAAAAGTGGCAGCTAGAAAGGCTGTTCCTGCAAAAAACACAAGTAGTACTGGGGTGTGCAGGAAGACTGCCAGCACATGCCCAGCAACCCCGACCTGTGAATGTTATGCAAGAGAGCAAGTGTGCAGTGTTTGCCTTTCAAGGTAATGTATTTTGATCATGTAAAACTAAGCAGAACTTTGTCTAGCAGAATTAGTGGCTGCCGTATTTCTGTTACACAGCTGGCTTTGCTTTACATATGCTATCTCTTTTACATTGCTTGGAGTGGTAGCAAGCATAACAGGATTTTTTGTTACTCACCATAACATCCCTTTCTCTTGAGTTCATTGATGGATACAGCTCTTCTATTCATGGCCATAGGGTTAGTAGTCAGGAGTAGAACACTAGGCATAAAAAAAGAACACAGCACTACCTATGGGCAGTCCTGGCTAGTATTTAGTTGTGCAATATAATAAAATGACACAGGGAAAAGTATTGAACACATAAAGAAAGGGAGGTGCAAAAAGGCATGGAAAGCCAAGACACCAGCTGAAATCTATCAGTAATTAGAAGGCAATCCTGCCCCAATTGATGGCCTATAAAAAGGTGTCTCATTACCAAGGCGTTGCACAAGAAACATCTCATGATGGGTAAAGGCAAAGAGCTCTCTCAAGACCTTTGCAACCTTATTGTTGCAAGACATACTGATGGCATTGGTTACAGAAGGATTTCTGAATGTTCCAGTGAGCTCTATAGAGGCCATAATTTGGAACTGGAAAGAATATTATTTCTCCATAAACCAGCCACAACCAGGTGCTCCTCTCAACATCTATGACAGAGTGAAAAAAAATTATCAGAAGAGTTGTCCAAGAGCCAAGGACAACTTGGGGAGAGCTTCAGAAAAATATGGAATTAGCAGGTACAATTGTTTAAAAAAAATAAAATAAATAAAAACGAAGTAATGCACTCAAACACCATGGGCTGTACGCACGCTCACCATGCAAGATTTCATTGCTGAAGAAAGAGCATGTTGAAGCTTGTTTAAAGTGTGCTGTGCAACATTTAGCCAAACCTGTGAAATACTGGGAGAATATAGTCTAGTCAGTTGAGACCAAAATTGAACTCTTTGGATGCCATAATACACACCATGTTTGGAGGTCAAATGGCACTGAAAAAAAAACCCCATACCAACACTGAAGTTTGGAGGTAGGAACTTCATGGTGAGGGACTGTTTTTCAGCATATGGTACTGGCAAACTTCACATAATTTAAGGAAAGATGAATGGAAAAATGTACTAAGACATTCTTGATAAAAAATCTGCCATCTACCAGGATGATGAAGATAAAACGAGGGTGGACATTTCAGCAAGACAATGATCCCAAAACACACAGCCAAGGAAACTCAATTGGTTTCAAAGAAAATAAAGCTGCTAGAATGGCCCAGCCAATCACCTGACTTGAATCCAATAGAAAATCTATGGAAAGAACTAAAGATCAGAGCTCATAGAAGAGGCCCACGGAACCTTCAAGATGTGAAGACTGTGGAAGAATGGGCCAAAATCACACCTGAGCAATGCATGTGACTAGTTTCTCCATACAGGAGGCATCTTGAAGCTGCCATTACCAACAAAGGATTTTTTGAGAAGTATTAAATAAATTTCAGTTTGCGTGTTCAATAATTTATTTTTCCCTGTGTCATCCCATTTTATTACACATAACTTGATTTCTGAACTTATTTTGGTTTCTTTGTATGTATGGATTGCATGGGTTGTTACCAACGTAGTGAATTTCATGTCAACAGCACCTTTTAGAAATATATTTACCTAGAAAAATGGTGACTTGCTCATCACTTATTTTACCTGCTGTATGTCTGTATATGTATGTTTTTTTTTTGTGTGTGTGTGTGTGTGTGTGTGTGTGTGTGTGTATATATATATATATATATATATATATATATATATATATATATATTTCACAGAAGTGAGTACACCCCTCACACTTCTGTAAATATTTTATCTTTTCATGTGACAACACTAAAAAAAATGACTGCTACAATGTACAATAGTGAGAGTGTACGGCTTGTATAACAGTGTAAATTTGCTGTCCCCTCAAAATAACTCAACGCACAGCCATTAATGTCTAAACTGCTGGCAACAAAAGTGATTACACCCCTAAGTGAAAATGTCCAAATTGGGCCCAAAGTGTTAATATGTTGTGTGGCCACCACAACATATGCGCTCCTCCGCCTTCTGTTTGAGGATGCCCCACAGATGCTCAATAGGGTTTAGTCCTGGAGACATGCTTGGCCAGTCCATCACCTTTATACTCAGCTTCTTTTAGCAAGGCAGCGGTTGTCTTTTGGAGTTGTGTTTGGGGCCGTCCTCATGTTGGAATACTGCCCTACGGCCCAGTCTCGGGGGGGGGGGGGGGGGGGGGGGGGGGGGGGGGAGGAAGGAATCATGCCCTGCTTCAGTATGTCACAGTACATGTTGGCATTCATGGTTCCCTCAGTGAACTGTAGCTCCCCAGTGCCGGCAGCACTCATGCAGCCCCAGATCATGACACTCCCACCACCATGCTTGACTGTAGGCAAGACACACTTGTCTTTGTACTCCTCACCTGGTTGCCGCCACACACACTTGAGACCATCTGAACCATATATGTTTATCTTGGTCTCATCAGACCACAGGACATGGTTTCCTTAGTCTGCTTGTCTTCAGCTAACGGTTTGCGGGCTTTCATGTGTATCAATGCAGTAAGGCAAGTACTGTTCTCCTGGCAACCGCCACACCCAGATACATCCATTGAATTGCCAGACAGAGAAGCGTGATTCTCACATCAGAAAACATGTCTCCACTCCTGTAGAGTCCAGTGGTGGTGTGCATTACACCACTGCATCCAACGCTTTGCACTTAGTGATGTGAGGCATGAATTCAGCTGTTCGGCCATGGGGAAAACACTTTCCATGAAGCTCTCTATGCACTGTTGTGCTAATATGAAGACCACACGAAGTTTGGAAGTTTTTAGCCATTGACTCTGCAGACAGTTGGCAACTTCTGCGCACTGTGCACTTTAGCATGCACTGGCCCTGCCTGCTCTGTCATTTTACATGGCCTACCACTTGCTATTGCTGTTGTTCCCAGTTGCTTCCACTTTGTTATAATACCACGAACAGTTGACCGTGAAATATTTAGTAGCAAGGAAATTTAATGGAAGGACTTATTGCACAGGTGGCAGCCTGTCAGGGCACCACACTTGAATTCAGCTCCTGAGAGCAACCCATTCTTTCACAAATGTTTGTATAAGCAGTCTGCATGCCTAGGTGCTTGGTTTTATACACCTGTGGCCATGCAGTTGATTGGAACACCTAAATCCAATGATTTGGAGGAGTGTCCCAATACTTTGAGAGCGAGTTATTTTTGTGCAATTTTAATATGTATTTGTATCTGTTTGGCTCATAACGTTATCCCTTATTTCTTTTTTGTGAAGAGCCAGACAAGTTGCTCCAAGAGCTGGTACGCCTGGGTTTCGTGCACCAGAGGTGTTAACAAAATGTCCTGATCAGACCACTGGTAAATATTCCTTTCTTTTTTTTTTATTGCCTTGGGTAAAAGAACCACCAGCTTCATTGGCATTCTTCAGTTGTATGAAGAAACCTCTCCATTTAATGAATGTTTGCTAGGTCTTACATCTGTTCAGGTAATTTGGGGGGGAGCCTTTTGGTTTGATAAAGATTTGAAAATCATAATAATTGTAACTTTGAGCATAATGAACAATGTTGGCTTCATACATATGTGTACCATCTAAAAACAGGTGGAACATATAATATATTCCCAAAGATAAACTTATCCTTTAACTAACTACTTGCCCTCTGGAAGATTTACCCTTTTCATGGCCAGGCCATTTTTTTGCTGTTCGGCACTACGCTGTTTCAACTGGTAATTGCACGGTCTTGTAATGCTGTACCCAAACAAAATTTATGTCCCTTTTTTTTCACACAAATAGAGCTTTCTTTTGGTGGTGTTTGATCATCTCAGCTGTTTTTTAGTTTGCACTATAAATAAAAAAGACCCAAAATTTTTGAAAAGAAAAAAAACTCTTATTTTTCACTTTTAATTATAAAAAATATCCAATAAACTCAGTCATAAATTTAGGCCATAATGTATTCTGCTGCATGTCTTTGGTAAAAAAAAAAAATCCCAATACATGTATACTAATTGGTTTGTGTGAAAGTTATAGCGTCTACAAACTATGGTGCATATATATTAGAATTTTCACAGCTTTTACTTTGACCGCCTTTCACATTTCATGAAGTGCTAGAATGCCAGGGCAATACAACAACCCCTAAAATTGCGCATGCGCAAGTACAGACATTTTTAATATCAATAGGCGATGCTTTAAAAGCCTTTACAGGTCACCAATTTATATTTACACAGAAGGTCTAGTGCTAGAACTACTGCCCTCGATCTGACATTCGCGGTGATACCTCATATGCATGGTGTGATCTCTGTATACATACATGGGACCGATGCTTGTGTTTACCTTTGCAAACGGGAAGGGTGGATTGGCTGGGGTGATTTTTACTTTTTTTTTTTTTTTTTTTTTTTTTTTTTTTTTTCCCCTCCCTCAAATGTAATAGCTCTGTGATAGCAATAGGCAGTGACAGGTACTCTTTTCTGAGAAATGTGGGGTCTATTAGACTCTAGATCTCTCCTCCTGCCTTTTAAAGCATCTGATCACACCAAGATCAGTGTGATCAGATGCTTTCCCAATTTAAAAATGGCTATGTTAAATTCCGTTGAAACGGAAATGTTGAAATGCTTGTAGCTTCCGGTCTCTTAGACCATAGAGATTGGAGCCATTCTGGTCTCTGATCCGCTCTATTGTCAGACAGCGGAACTGTCAGCTGCATTCTCAGATTCCCCTGAGGGACAGGAGAGCCCAAGAAAACTGAGGAAGGTGGGGGGATTCACCTTCCCGCTGCTTGTAAAAATGATCCAGCAGGTAATTGGCCACTAGGATTGCTATTACATGTAACAGACCACCAACTGAAAAAAACAATACCAGGATGATGCCTGTAGTTGCAGGCATCATCCTGGTATAACCACTCAAAGTCCAACGACTTGCCAGTACATTGTTGGTCCATGTTGGGCATGTATGTAACAGCAGAGAACATGATGAATATGATGAATCGGGTCTGTGGACCAATATGACTGTAAATTCAATCTTTTTTGTAATGCCCATGTTGAGTGCTATGCCTAAAGTTTTTTAATTCAGAAACCGCGATCGCTTTCCATGCGAATTGTCTGGGCAGCGATGTACTGTTGTACGCATACATTTCTTTGGCCCACAATCAACTGGTACAAATCTTCCATGAAAAACCGTGTAGGGGATATACGCTAGTGCTGTCAGCAAACTGGGCCGATCCTGCTAACACTGTTTTTGAGGACACTATACAAAGGAGGCGCTAGTATAGGTCCTGTTCAGGATCATTATATGGATCCGTACAAACACTTTACTAGTAATGGCAGTGATCAGCAACCAATAGCATGAGTGAGGTAGTGTGTGGGCAATCTAACGCTAGCTGGGAGGGGCGCTAACTGACCCGGACGCTATCTGATGTTGCTAGTGGCAGTAATATAGTAAGGGTTAATAGGGGTGATCAAAGAGTTATGTGCTAATCTAACGTGTGTGTAAAATGTAGTGCTTTTACTCAGTGCTGTATTTGTTCTCTTCCTGGACCAACTGAGGGGCAGCAGGGGAGTGCAGGCATGTTCACACCCCGAAATAGCGACGTAAGAGTACATCACTTTGCCCAGAGCTGCTGCTTGCCTGCAAAATGTGGGTAAGCTGTCGGCAGGTAGTTATAAAAAAAAAAAAAAAAAAAAAAGGGGGGGGGGGGGGGGGTTTTCTGAATACGATAATTTTTTTATTTATTTTTTTTACACTTTGTTTTGCAGGAGAACTAAAGATAACTTCTCCTGCAATGTAGAGCTTGCTGTCATTCTTGATCGTGATCTGTGATTGACTGGAGCTGGTCACATGGTACAGGATGCTGTGATTGGCCCCATGTATCACTAGGAAGAGAAGCAGAGCTCTTAGAAAAGCTGTTATGAATCAGACTGATTCATAACAGCTTTTCTAACATTGTGATCATAGCGATCACTGGATCCCGTTCACCGGGATAGTCATTCCGCTGTTTCTGCTGGACACCTCTGTTAGGACAGCAAGAGCGACATACCCGTACGTCACTTTGCCTGTAGCAGCGAAGATGCGGGAAGCGGTTAAAGCTGAAGTGTTTTCGTGGTGGTTTTTTTTTTTTTTTTTTTTTTTTTGCAGATAAGTCAGGGAAGAAAAAGGGGGAAAAAAACAATGTGTGCAGTGTCTTCACAGCTGGCAGATACTGCCCTAAACACTGTTTTTAATTGTTGTGAAGGTTAACCCCTTTGTGCCTCCTGGCCCTTTAAGAATTCTGGGAGGCGGGCATTTGGTCATGTGACAGCTGTGATTGCCGGTCACCTGTTCATAAAGTTCATGATCGCAAGTATACATTGCGAGATTACAGATCACTGCTGGGTACCATGCTGGGAGCATGTAAGGACTGCACTCTCAGCATAGTAAGTAGTTTTAGCAGGTCCACATATATGCAGCCACTCGGCATTAAGGTGCAGCTGCATATATGTGTATGACCAATGTGAAAAGGTTGCAATGCATCGCATTCTGCAAAAGGGAGGAAGCCGTTGAATGACGGGATCTCCTCTGCTCATCTCTTTCACAGAACAAGATGCATTGTGCTAGTGTAGTGCAATTTATGTGAATGGAGGAGCAGCCAGAAGGAGATGGGTAAGCAGGGCAACTTTTTCTGCATATGCATTTAACTTTTAAAGCTTTGGAAGATAGTTGCTCAGGGAAGTGTCTATCAGTTTTGAAGGAGACACTGCATGGGCAATTTTTAATGTGTATAAAAATGCTCCGCTAGGAAAATGTGTAAATTAATGTCCCAATAAATTATTAAAAAAAAAAATCCATAAACAATGGGTCTCAAAATGCACGTGTATCCAGGATTACGTTTTAGTGATAAATTATGATTTTTTTTTAGCAGAAACAGCCACCTGCAGGTAAGGGGATGAGCACCATTACACATAATGTGATTCGGTGCTATATTGCAAAAAATAAACCACCTGGCTTAAAAATAAAATTCTCTTCAAGTATTTAACTCCAAAAAACATTATATTGCTCTCAGCCTCCTCCAGATCTCCAGTTAGAAGGTGGCTATATTGGTTGTCCATGAGCCCAGATGTAGCCTCACCCAAGATGGACTATGTTTTTAGTGTGCACTGCTTGTTCCAAACAAATGGAAGTGAGAGGGAAAGGAGTGTTTGGGCACTCATGGAGGTCATGGCAAGGGAGCAGAAAACACAAAGTTTTATGAAATGTGGATTACAGGATTAAGCAAGTAGTGGATGTATATGAATTATTTATTTTTTGAGACTATAGCTATTGTTTTGGGTTTTTTTTTCTGTCCTCTTATTTAGCAAATGAATCGTACTAAGCTGGGTGGTATTACATTTTTGAAAAATGTTGAATTGTTTTTCTTTTTAAAACAATTCTTTGCAGTCTTTATAATTTAATACAATATCTGTAATTTTTTTTTTTTTACACGGACAAGAACGTCATACATCATTTGGTGAACATCTGGAATGCAGTGTCAATATTTGTCATCCTCAAATCGATTCACTTGTCATTTGGGTACCTTGTATAATTATAACACACCGTGCTAGAAACATTTTCTTTATTGCTTGTACATGACACAGACAAATTTAGAGACAGTTGGTTATAGGCAGGTACCTTCAAGTGAGTGGACACTAACAAAAGCTGAGGACCCCCATATAACCCCTTCTACTCCTAGCAAGCCCTTCTTTGTTAGTGGCTTTAGGTGTTGGATGTCTCCTTTCTACTGTGTCTGGATTTTTTTTTTCTTTTCTTCTTCAACCATTACCAAATTCTTCAGTCAACTTAACTCACTGCGTTGTGGCCACAGCATCATCAGATTGGTGCCCCATGGCGAGAGCTTTGGGGACTGGACCCTGCCAGAAAATACTCGGAGCTGGGCTGTCAAGTTGCTTCGGACACTGAATTCTGCATTGAATGCCCACCATGGCAGTAAGTGCAGCACAATGGGTTAACCGCAGGGTGCTATACAGGTTCAGGGCAGTGGCAATTCCACTCCTGTGACCCAGTCCTTGAAAACCTCCTCGCTGAAGGGATTTGCCCTTCTGAAGTGAAGGGGTTATTGAGGGTTCATTCCTATTCTTTCCGGTTTGCCATTTTTAAGTATAATCTGTGATGCCCTGGATGCCCCTCTGCTGCCATGGAGACAGAACATGTGACATTTTGTATGGGCCCCCTCCCTTCCTCCCCCCCTCTTATCCTGTATATGTGGCAATGCTACTGGGGAGGCTTAAATGTTGAATCTCATCACCCAGGAACTGATGCAAACAGCCCTGGGCAGTCCTGCCACCTTCTCTGGGGTCCTTAGTGGCTGAGGCATACTGGGTAGTGCATCAGCCAT